ATAACAAAGGAATGTCCATTTAAACTTGATTTTTATGTTGGCAAAAAAATGAATAAATTGATAAGATGATCAACAATTTAGTTAATAATGAATAAATTTTCGTTCAAATTTATATCACGTAAGACTTACATGATACGTTTGTTTAGTTGATAAAACCACTCTATAGATTTAGCATAATATATATGTAATCTATGTAACTGTTATAGAGCGGTGTTGCCTAAAGTTTCCGTAATGTGTGATTTAATTGTAAAATTGAGTTACAAAATGTATCATATCTTATTAAATTGTTATGTCAGTTAACTGAGCTTAAGAAACATTGTGCAATTAAAATTAATGAGATGTTGAATATTTTTGTTAATAATAAAGGAGTCTTAGTTCGTAACAAAGTAATTAAGCTACAAAAGCATCACATTTGATTAAACTATTATGTAAGAAATAATTGACATTGCAAAACCTTTGTGTAAAATAAATTGATGAGATGGTTAACAAAGTTAATAATAACGAAATTTGGTTCAATCAAACTTATATTAAGCCGAATATATGTAATAAAATATACATAAGAAATACATATCTTTCTATAAATTAAGTATTGTAAAATGATAGAGGAGGTTATACTGAAAAATTTAGTGGTATGGGATTTATGTTGAAATTTTGGTTTAACTGTGGTTCAACTGTTTTGATACATAAGAAATACATATCCTTCTCTAAATCAAGGATTGTAAAACTAGGAAAGTTCTGTTGTAGATGATTTATGTTGAAATCTTGGTTTTACTGTCGTTCAAGTTTTTCATACCGTTAAACCCCATACTGACTTGGGCTCTCTTAGACGTTTTTATCGCCGAATTGCTGGTACGGTACGATTTTGTAAACATTGATTTATAGAAAGATATGTATTTTGTTATGTAGTTAAATTGCTTCATATACCGTTAAACCCCATACTGACTTGGGATCTAGAGAACACTAAGGCATTGAGAATTCTGAGAGATGAGACTTTGAGCTCTATGAACTTTTCTGGGTTGAACTATAGGGTCAACTTGATTATGATAATAATAAGGGATGATAAAAAAGAAAATGTCGTAAGAAGAATATAAAAGGGATTTTGATTTTCCCCCGGAAGTTTGGGTTGAAGTTTGGGTTGGTATGTTCGCAGCTAATCGGGTAAAATACCTCGAGTGTCACTTAAGTTTGAGAATTGGGGTAGACATACCACTTAAGTTTGAATAGGGCGTCGAGTACCACTAAACTCTATTATAGAGTTAATTGCATGGTTGGTCACTGAGATTACGAAAAACGTTCAAGTTTGGTCACTTGAAATATTTAAATTCATTTGTGGTACTTCAGTTTACTGAAACCATTCACGTTTAGTCACTCTCCGTCCAACTCCGTTAACTTTTGCATATGTGGCAGTCAACTCTAAAAGTTGACCGTTAAATGTGTGACGTGGAAATTAAAAAATAATTAAATAAATAAAAAATAATTTTTTTAAAATGTTCACCTCATTTCTAACTAATAAAAATATAAAAAAAAAATTATAAATTAGTAAAATTAAGAACTAACAGAGAATCCTTTCTATTGTTCTCCGCCGCCGCATTCTTGACCACAAACGGCGGTGGTTTCTTGCTAGGATGCTGGTCTTCGGAACGGCAAAGGAGAAGAACAAGGCGGCGTACGAGGTCCGATTGCTTTCCAAATCCAACATCTTCAACAGAGGGTGTTTGATTCAAGCAGGGGTAATTCTCCCCCTGCTAAACCTCCTGAATTCCTTTGCATCGGGGAAGAAGAAGACAACCGCTCAAGAGAACGCCACTGCATGAGGATAATCTCCACACTAGACACACGTAAGATATTGGATAAAGGTTTTGTGTGAATGCTAGTTTTCCATTTCTGGGCAGTATCCACCAATTCTGCATCGATACACGTTCTGAATTTTAATAATTTATAATTTTATTTTTATATTTTTAATAGTTAGAAATGAGGTGGAAATTTTAAAAAATTAAATTTTATTTATTTATTTATTTATTTATGAATTGCCACGTCACACATTTAACGGTCAACTTTTAGAGTTGATTGCCACGTAAGCAAAAGTTAACGAAGTTGGACGAAGAGTGACCAAATATGAACGGTTTCAGTAAACTCAAGTACCATCAATGGATTTAAATATTTCGAGTGACCAAATTTAAATGTTTTTTGTAATCTCAGTGACCAACCACGCAATTAACCACTCTATTATATGTGCACCCGGTACCACTTAAGTTTATTGCTAAGTGCATTCCGTTAAAGTTGACAGAATATTTTAGAATATTCCGTTTTCTAAATTTCATAATTGGTCCTTCTACTTTTCTTATTATAAAAAAAATCATTTGGGGTTATGAAAAATATCATTTTTTATTGTTTAGTTAGAATCCTTTTTTAATACTTGATACCAAACCAATTTTTGAATAGAAAATTTAGAATTAATTATCATTATAATTATTTTCAAACATGATTCTAATAATTGAATTATTATTCCATGAATGTTGTAACTAAGAAATGTTGTAGTTTTTATAGTCATATTTTCTTTTCTACATTTTTTACTAGATTTTTTATTTTATTTATTATTTAGCTACTTCCCATCTACTTTTGTTCTAAATTTTTACAATTAGTGGAATATGTTTAATTATTTCTAATGGTGCTTCTAATTGAATTAGGAGTTTAAATAGATATTCTAATATTAAATTTAAATATTTATTATTATATTCTAGTATATTTATTATTCCTTTTGATATTCGTTTATTATTTTTACTAATTTATCTATTTTATTACAAAATTGATCAGTCATTCTAGTAATAATATGTTTAGAAGGTTTTTTTAATTATTATATTAGATAAAACTTGTTGAAATATAGTTTTTGATGTTTTTAAAAGTTTTGGGTATCAAAAAGTAATTAAAAGTTTGGGTTGGATGGAAAAGTAGACGGATGCACATTTTGACGACATTAATGATACCCGACACACTATTCTAACTTAAGTGGTATGTGTACCCCAATTATCAAACTTAAGTGGCACGCGAGGTATTTTACCCTGGCTAATCACAACACTAATGAACAGCAACTTCTAGAGAGATTTTCGTAAGGAATAGTGCATTGTACTTATGCTATTAATTAATTAGCAATCAACAGCGGATCTAGGGGGGCCGCCCCTGGGCCACGGCCTCGCTCTCTTCGGATCCAAAGCTCGTGTAGTACTTGTAAATTTTTTATTTTGGATATATATTTCAGTGTTTATTGGATTATGGCACAACCCTCTCCATCGCTTATTAAATGCGGCCCAATTCTCTAACCGGTTCTGGATCCGCCACTGCTTGCAATATCCAAGTATTAAGTCCATCAAAGCATAGCCCTTGTTGGTAGATGGATTACAGGCAGATGGATGACTAAACTACTATTACCCAACAAAAATTCGGAAAAAATCCCAAAGTACACTAGTTTTTAAAAAAATTTCCCAAAATACATAAGTTATAAAAAAAATTCCAAAAGTACACATGTTTGAGCATCACCGTTTTAGACAAAAACGGTGAAGGTCATCACCGCTTTTGACCAAGACGGTGAATACTTCACCGTTTCAAACTAAAACGGTGAAGGGTTCACCGCGTTTGTTAAGAACGGTGAATACTTCACCGTTTTAAACAAAAACGGTGAAGCCTTCATTTGAATTCCAAGTATTTTGATAACTCTAAATGGTTCTCCTCGTCGATACGATCGCGCTGCCGAAAACGGCTCGTCATTTCGACCTCAAACGAATAAGATACGCGCGTTTTAGTTTTTAGTACGCAAAAGTTACTTTAACGACATGTGCAGCTTTGAACTCACTTATCTCACTCGTTTGGACTCGGAATTGAGATCTGTAAAATTCTATGTGATCGTGGTTGATTTTCCCAACCTTTTTGTGTTGAGGGAAGATAATGATTCTTGATAAAATGATCCAGAATATTCATTCGACAACTTAAGTGCGTAGGATAGTTTTTAGACAATGCAAACTCAAATAACAACACCTAAAAATCACAAAAACAACATTGATAGTTCACTACAATGATAAAATGATAAATTCACTCATTTGCTTCATTTTGGCCCCTATCTCCACCTCTTCCTCCTCGTCCTCCACGACGTCCTCGACCCCTTCTTCCCCCCTCCGCCACTGCTTCTTGGCGGGCTCGCTCAACGGCTGGTCGCGGATTTCTCTTGACCCGAGCCCCAACTGGGGTTACATATGGTGGTGGTGGTGGCTGAGTTGGACCGGTAGCTTGACGAATGATCGGGGGGTTCGGAGTTTGTTGTTGCGGATGTTGGAATTAAGAGAACCCATGATGTTGTTACATATGGTTCTCTCAATTCCAACATCCGCAACAACAAACTCGTGGAGGACGAGGAGGAAGAGGTGGAGATGGGGGCCAAAATGAAGCAAATGAGTGAATTTATCGTTTTATCATTGTAGTGAACTATCAATGTTGTTTTTGTGATTTTTAGGTGTTGTTATTTGAGTTTGCATGGTCTAAAAACTATCCTACGCACTTAAGTTGTCGAATGAATATTCTGGATCATTTTATCAAGAATCATTATCTTCCCTCAACACAAAAAAGTTGGGAAAATCAACCACGATCACATAGAATTTTACAGATCTCAATTCCGAGTCCAAACGAGTGAGATAAGTGAGTTCAAAGCTGCACATGTCGTTAAAGTAACTTTTGCGTACTAAAAACTAAAACGCGCGTATCTTATTCGTTTGAGGTCGAAATGACGAGCCGTTTTCGGCAGCGCGATCGTATCGACGAGGAGAACCATTTAGAGTTATCAAAATACTTGGAATTCAAATGAAGGCTTCACCGTTTTTGTTTAAAACGGTGAAGTATTCACCGTTCTTAACAAACGCGGTGAACCCTTCACCGTTTTAGTTTGAAACGGTGAAGTATTCACCGTCTTGGTCAAAAGCGGTGATGACCTTCACCGTTTTTGTCTAAAACGGTGATGCTCAAACATGTGTACTTTTGGAATTTTTTTTATAACTTATGTATTTTGGGAATTTTTTTTTAAAAACTAGTGTACTTTGGGATTTTTTCCACAAAAATTCTGCTCCCTTATAGTTATAGACAGAGTGTAGGCAAGCTGGAGCTCTAAACCAGTACGTACGTGTTGGCATTCATAAGGCACATTCTTCCAACATATCTGAAATACACAGATCACGGTACTCACACTGACATTAAAAAAACTGTAAAAAAAAAAATGGGTATCTTTCAAAATTTGACCTTTTTCTTGCAACAGAAGTCAAACAGCTAGCGAGGGGGCCGTCAATATTTAACTTTATTATATAAAAAAAACCTACAAATGGTTGAACAACACAAATAATTCTTTCCGCCACAAATTCTATGATTTATAATCTTAAAAAAAAATATAAAAACAAATCATTCATTAAACATTCTAAATAGTCTATGTTCTAACATGTTTCCCCGTCAATATCATTTGTTCCATCCTCGAAAGAAGTTTTTGCTTCACGGTTCACTCCATTTTTGCCTAGCATATTTGCCATTTCAATACTAAGAAAGTGCCAATGTGATACTGAGCAAGATAGTAAATGTATCAAGATACCATTATGTTCCACAAAGTGCGATAAGATGGATGATGCCTAAGTTTCCCAAGGACAATACCGGCTTCATTGGCTCTCTCAAGACCAATATCTTCAGGAGCTATAACCTCATACATTCCTTTATGCTTTAACATTCCATCCTGGACCAAATATAACAAATTTCGAGTCACTCCACAAGGACAGGCGATTTTAAGAGTGGGTTCATTGAAGGGGAGAAATAAGTCCTCAACACAGCCATAAGAGAAAAACATATGTAAACGAATGTACCAAAGAGAATTTCAGAGTAAAAAATATCACTATTACTCATTGTGGGCCTCGCCTATCCCGCACATCAACCCCATTCAACTATGTGTTGGCCTCTGTTTTTTAGTTTGTTCATTTTTTCAGCCTACTAGGTATATTATCAGGCCTTTAATCATGAGCAACAGGTTTCCCAAGTAATTATGATTACCATGTTGAATTTCCATTCATGCAGGTACCATGTTCCCAAAGAGTTCCTAAACACAACAGACAATCTACTGGTAATACTGGAAGAATCCAATGGGGATCCGCTCCAGATTACTGTTATGTAATTTTAGGCCTTCTGTGATTCATACTATCTTGGTCTATCATTATTTTGCTTAAGAAACCCCACCCAGACAGTTAAAAATTTGAAGCATGCCGCATTCACGCAACTACTGAGGACGAGAATTCAGTAAAAAGAGTGATGTGCTTACATGTTGATGGTGTTTACAATTTTTGCAATCAACTTTTGCCCATCAAAGATTCCATAAGAGCATCTTCTTCCTCCTGCAATTGAATTTATCAATCATTCATGAGCTAATTCCATCATCTAGTGCATCCACAATTGGTCACACATAAAAAAAGTAGTTTCACGTACCACCAGTTCGTTAAATTCAGTCTCCACATCAATTGCACTTAAGATAGCCGAGTCCTCCAAAAGATCCTGTTCCGTTGACAGACAATCAGGAACAGATATTTTTATATCTTTCAATCAAAAGACTACTGTTTTAAAGTTGCAACAGTATTAAATCATTGTATTCTAAAATAGCCACCCATTTCCTACCACTAAGCTTGCATTTCTTACCAGAGAAGAGCGAGATTTTTTTTGGTCTATGATTGCCACAGTTTCTACTCTTTTTGACATTTAGAGCAAGATCATAAACATAAATTTGATCAAACTACGAGTGGTGAATGAAGTATATCAACTAGAGAAGCAACAATGAAGAAAGTAAGAGGCAAATAGTTAAGGAGAAGATAAAAGGCAAAGGAGTTTCTTACATCATCAGCTATTTGCAATACTCCATCTTGATCCTGCAGAACACAAATAAATTCCATTTAGCTCAGCTCAAGGATCAAGAAGGACCTTGATTCTCCACCAAACTAATGTTATCACACTAAACTAATGTTAGTTAATATCTTCCTCACCAAACAATATGCTGATATAGTGATATTACTTCCCGTTATTTTACTAGATGCTCTTTACATCATATTTCCATAAATTACTTGAAATGGAAAACTCAGCACAACAAAAGTAGGATCCTAAAGATCAATCCAAGCTGGAAAATGAGTTGTAATTGCAAGCTAACCTTATGTATCCCAATTTCATGAGCAAAAGCATTAGCTCCAACAATAGCCTTGTGAGGCTGCACTTGCAATCCCCTGTGGTCTTCCACCTAAAGGACCATTTCAACCAGGAGCCATATTTACTAAATAACATGAAACAAATTGTGTATTGAGAGAGCTTAAAGAGAATTTAGCATTTTGCTTGCCATAGTAATGTGTAATAGTTAATCCCAGTGTACAAACCTCCCAACAAATGCTCTCCATGATATTTTATGGCAATTACAACCTGCATATATAGTCAAGAACAAGAGTTTAAGAACAAAACAATAATTGCCAATGTTCCAGAAGACGCTAGGCGCTATCTAGGCGAGGAGGCACCGCCCAGCGCCCAGGCCGATTAATCGTTGCCTAGGCGAGATTAAACGTTGCAAAAAAATACGATAGATAAGCCATATTCCACAAAAACCCAAATTGCCATATCATTATTCATCCATTCATATTCACATACAACCCTTTTCCACAATCCCAAACATCCCAAGTCGCCAACAATGAGGAGGGATCTCACTGCTGGTCGATGAGGGGGAGCGGCTGGTCGAATGGAAATGGGAAATAGAATAGGGTTTGGGATTTTCAAAAAAAGGCTACACTTTCCCCCTTTATTAGTTGTTATGGGCGTCGCCCACCAGAGTGAAAACGCGCCTCCGAGTGCCTAGGTGCCTAGATCAATCGCCCAGGGCTAGACGGGGCAATTTTGTCCTGGCCAACTATTAATCGCGCCTAGGCGAGAGATTAATCGCGTCTTCTTGAACACTGATAATTAGGCACGAAAAATGAAGCTAGGAGAACAATCCAAAAGACACAAATGATTTGAATACTTCAGGGATTTTGGAGACAGAAAGGGAACTTACCCACCGACTAAACTTGCCTAATGACTGGGGGAATTGCAGTAACATCAGACATTATCTCTGTTATGTGCCATCACATTCTGTGCAAAATTCAAAACCATACCTCCTCCAGTGAATAGCTCAGCAAGTATTCTACTACCTGCACGAGCACACCTCTGATGGCAATGACAAATGTATCACTGGAAACAAAACGAAGGGCTTCATCTCCTCCAATCCTATCAAGAATCAGAGACCACGCAAAGTTGAATTCCCTCTCCTTCCCAAGTAAATCAACAATTCCATTGAACAACGCCTCTAAGTATGGAAACCCTAGTCTCTTGTCAGCCCTTAGAATCACAGAATAGAACAACTTCAGAGGCTGCTACTTAACTGAAAATTGGAATTCAGCTTCCCGATTTCAATTAGCTAACACCAGAAGATGTGATTCTACAATCAATCTCACCTGTCGCTGCTTTGGTCATCGAACATCAACAATTGTGGTAACTCGAGTTCGGGAAGGTTCGTCGCTGCAGAGTGCAGATCCACCATTGCATGTGTCCACCGCTCCTGCACTACTTCTTTCCAACATCGATTGCTACTCTGAGCTGCCAGGCCTGATCAAATCAGATCTCAATCTCACAAACTCTATCGCAAAATCGACGATGACGGAAGCGACGACAATGAAGGAGTAGAAAGGAGGGATTTGAGGTTTGTTTGACTTCGAAGTTGGTAAACTCCACAGAGGTGGCGATGAAGAAAATCGATGTTGGCGGTATGTTCTAGGGATAGGGATCGATGAGGATGAAAGAAGGAACGACAGATGCCGACGGGAATGCGAGAAACGGTAGAGAGGGGACGATTGCTTTCTCTTTCTAGTTTCTACCCAAAATAACAGAGCTGGTTCACAACAGAAACTTCAATCGACTTTGTCTGTGAATTTGAGATAAAAGTAAAATTTAGAAACAAGGAAAAAGTAATTAATTTATTGTTTAGCACTTGGCAGCAGTGGAAAATATTTTTAATAAGGGTTTTGTAACCCCTGAAAAGAACCGATGATAAAGTAAAATTTAGAAACATTATCAAGGGTCAATAAAACCCCTGCTATCAAACCCTTGGCAAAGCCCACATTTTTTGTAGTGGGGCTGCTGCTGAATCTGATATACCGCCAAGGAGCCAACTCCCAATTCTAGGATGAATCACAACACACGATCGACTTGTCCTGTCCACAGCTGTATGATAATTTCTTGAACACTTTACTTGAGAATCCTAGGCAGAGGCAGAGGCAGAGGCAGAGGCAGACCAGTATTTTATTATTGTGAATCGAAACCCTTAGGAGATCGATTAATCCAATGCCCCCTCCAACAAGTAACTCCAAAAACCCTCCTTTCTTTATATCGCATCCCCTAACCCACATATCCCCTCAAAATTCCACAGGAGATTCCCTTCTTCCCCTCCTCTTCCATTTCTCTGCTCTTCGATCTTCTGGTTTTCCCATGAACTATTCAGACTATATAAACCCTCCTCTGTCCTTACCATCTGCCCTGGCCACAGACGAAGGGTCTCCCTTGTGGAACAACAAAGGCGACAACGCGTGGCAGCTCATCGCCACCAACCTGGTGTGCATCCAGAGCGTCCCGGGCCTCGTCATCCTCTACGGCAGCGTGGTGAAGAAGAAATGGGCGGTCAACTCTGCCTTCATGGCCCTCTACGCTTTCGCCGCCGTGCTTCTCTGCTGGGTCCTGTGGGCTCATCACATGGCCTTTGGTACCCTGAGGAAGAACCCTCACCTGGTGGCCAACCCGGCCTTCTCCGCCACCGAAACCTACCTCCTCCGCCAGTCCAAAATCGGATGGGTGCCCATGGCGGACTACGTCTTCTACCAGTTCGCGTTCGCTGCGATCACCGTCATACTCCTCGCGGGCTCCTTACTGGGAAGGATGAACTTCTACGCTTGGATGTTGTTCGTCCCTCTCTGGCTCACCTTCAGCTACACTGTCGGAGCTTACGCAATCTGGGGCGGCGGCTTCCTCGGCGGTTGCATCATAGACTACGCCGGTGGCTTCGTCATTCACCTCTCCTCCGGCATCGCCGGTTTCACCGCTGCTTTCTGGGTAATTACATTTCATTCTTCTCTTCTAGTTTCGTTTCATCACTTAACATTCATTTACACCAAAAAAGAAAAGACCCAACTTGGGCGCGCGCGGATATAAATATATAGGTGGGACCCAGGCACGCGCGTGACAGGCAGCACTTCCCGCCCAACAACATAATCCACATGCTGGCGGGAGCAGGTTTCCTGTGGCTGGGGTGGACAGGGTTCAACGGCGGCTCCCCCTTCGCCGCCAGCTTGATCGCTTCGCTCGCCATCTTCAACACACATCTCTGCACAGCGACCAGCATCCTCATTTGGGTTTCGCTCGACATGGTTGTCTACAAGAAGAGCTCCGTCATCGGAGCCGTCCAAGGTATGATCACGGGGCTCGTCTGCATCACCCCGGGCGCCGGCGTGGTGGACCCCTGGACAGCTGTCCTCATGGGAGCTCTCTCCGGTTCGGTCCCCTGGTACACCATGATGGTGCTGCACAAGAGGTCCGCCTTCTTCCAGAGCGTGGACGACACGCTCGCCGTCTTCCACACCCACGCGGTGGCTGGGGTCATGGGAGGGGTCGTGTCCGGGCTGTTCGCCAAGCCCAAGCTTCTGAGGATCATGTACCCGACCTCCACCTACGGGACCGGCCTCGTTTACAGCGTCTCGGGCTCGAGGAGGCTCGCAGACGGGCTCAAACAGATGGGCTGTCAGTTCGCGGGAGCAGGCTTCATTACTCTGTGGAACGTGGTGGTCACGAGCTTGATATGCATTGTGATTGGATGGATTATTGATCTGAGGATGAAGGAAGAGGACCTCGAGATTGGAGACGATGCTGTCCATGGCGAAGAAGCTTATGCGCTTTGGGGAGATGAGGACACTATGCTACTCATGAGGCCTCGGCGGCTCAACCCAAGGATTCCTTCTTTCTGCCGTACAGATCCTCGACAGTGAGCCAACGTTTTGAACCCAAATTAAATATTTCTTTGCTCCTGCTGCTGCTGAAACATCATATATCTATCTATTTAACGCGCCTGAAAAGGAAAAGTTAAATGCATGCGTCATCCATATTCAGAATAAGGTGGCGGCAGGGACCCACTCGTCACGTCTCCACTGTACAATTGCACTGTCATTATTTCACAAGTCAGTGAAATCATTTGTTTTACAGACGAATACAAAACAAATCCTTTTGATTTCACATTCCAACAGCCTGGACATCTCATGATTCTTCATTGGTAAACTTGTACAACATAGGATGTTAATTCTGTCCCTTTTAGTTGAGTCGGAACTCATATCATAATATGATGACCAATCTTAATTTGTTCAGACCAGTCAACTACACCTGTTTTCTAATGCTTATTAGTTATTACTATCTATCTTTGATATATTTGAGTACACAGTTTACAGAGTAGTGTGGTGTCATATTAATATAACCATGCATGCCCACGAAACTCGACTTCCCCATCAACCTGAGGGAGAAGCTAAGCCTCAGTACTGTCAGTTGTGTTCACCAGATACAAGGTTCAAACGAAACAATTTGAACCTTGCATCTTCCATTTTATCATTCCAATGAACAAAACCTGGAGTAGCTAAATTTATACTCAAAGCCATGAATGTCACATGAAAGTACCTTGCAGCTGTTGGCCACATATTCTGAGGGCCTTGCATCAACACTTGGCATATCATTTTCCCCTGGCTGCAGATTCACAAGCTAAGTTCAATACCAACGACTTAAAATGTGTTAACTACTCTCTTATTGATCCTCACCATTTGAACGGTTGAACCTGAAACGCGAAGAGAGAAACTAATAATAAGGCTGGGAACATTGAGAACATGGAAATGGAGTATGGTCATACTTGATATGAAAAAATTTGTAATGGGACAGAGATGGGAAGAGACAAAAAGAAAGTAGTGAGTTGCATAGGAAGACAAGACAAAGAACCAGAGAAGACAAAGAACCGTACTTCATTCATGTCCAAGTTTTCCCACAATATTCTTCCCACCTCCACCTGGAAAAGATCCGGACAAATCTGCGATCACAACCAAGCAATGGATTTGAATGGCGCCAAAGAAAGTAAACCAACAGAGAGCCCCAATAATCCAAAACCCTTACCCCATCGTTCTCTCCGGGTAGGGCATCCATAAACTTCTCCACAGCAAACTCCCCTCACAAAATGAGAAAAGGGGTGGGCAGCTAAACTAAACATTGTGAAGGAATTAAAAAAAAAACGGCAAATCAGTTCACTACCAAACGTGAACACCCACTAACAACAATTGGAAGCTAGGAGGTAAGGAGAGCGGACCTGGTAGGAGGAGCGAGGAAGGGAGGTAGTCGCCATTGTCTGTCACTGGCATTTCCGGATCGGCCAACTCCGGAAGAGCTTCTGATGGACGATCGTTTCGTCCATCGCGTAAATCGTAAGAACTAGAAAACTAAAGACACGAGATTAGGGGTTTTTATTATTCATTGACTGATTAAAACGTAGAAACAAAGTACATATTTATAGTACAACCAGAAAACCTAACCACTTACCAATCCTACAAGGATACCATAACTTAATCCTAAAGAAACTACCTTAAACACTTTAATAATTAAGATGATTCCTAAACAATAACTAAAACTAATAATAATAATGATGATAATAATATAGCTGCCAAGAATTGTAATGCATCAGCTTCCATGAGACGACTTGCAGGACAGGAGGAAAGATTAGCGTGCGTAGGTGGGAGACGGAATCGAATTGACAAACAAAGAAGCCAATCAGAAGAAGATTAAGATGGCGATGAGAGAGAATTGTCGGAAGTGAGAATTGCGTGAGCGGAGAGAATCCGCGAGCGCTAACATAGATGGAATTGAGAGGGAGGAGCTCCAAGCATGATTGATCGGTGGAGGAACTGAGTAACGTAACCGGAGAAGCATCAACAAGTGTAATATAAAACAAGAAGAAGAAAGTAGTTGAGCAGGAGAGGGAGGCAAAGCGGGCAGTTTATGGATTTTTAGCAAGGATGACGATGACATGTCATATATCAAGAGGTTTGGGTTCATTTATTTGGACGGGCACGAAGGAAAATACACATTTTCCTTGGCTTCCATCGAGTACGGCCAAACTCTTCGTCGTGCAGCAGTTATCACTCAAATCTCGTTCGAGCACTCAGTCAGCCTACCACATATGCACTCAAAATCACAAGTATGGAGAAAATTATATAGAAGGAAATATGGGGCGGGGCGGATACCTCAATACACATGCCCCGACCCACATTATTATGGGTCGGGGCGGGTAAAACTTGCGCGGGTACAGGGCGGGGCAGGGCAGGTCGACCCACTTTAACATGTTATTTGAATAAAACATACGCAAATTTTACTTTTTACGATAAAACGACGGGGCGGGCAGGCGGGTCGGAAGTAGATACCCATGTCTCGGCCCACGCTACTGCGGGTCGGGTAATACCTTCCCCATTGCGGGTCAGGGCGGGTTCAAATTGCCATCATTAGATGGAAAGCTCTTAATTTGTGGATGAATAATTTCTAGATGAATGACAAATGAGGGAGAGGGTTGCTTATATAGGCATCCTCTCCATCAAGTACAATGTATGTAGGCCATCATTAATGGATGAAGCTAAATAGTGCCCCCAATACATGAATCATAATAAATATGGATGCATGTACAATGATGCACCAATCTAAAGATACATGCATGTAACTACACCCTTCTATAGAATTCTAGAATCTTATCGTGATATTCTCCCCCACCAAATTCATGATGTTCTTGTCGTGTCGCATTCTTTGCATCAGCGTCATTGTTGGTGTGGTGACGATGTGCTTAATGGTGAGACAAGGGTGGCCCTGGCTCATGCATAAATCTCATAGCCCCAAGATGTAGCACCCTCTTTGTCGTGGTCTTCTTCCGTCAAGACTTCGAGCTTCCCACCCGCTCCATCTTGGTCCTTGCTTCTGTGGCCGCAACTTGCATTGCAAAGCAAGCCTTTAAAGCTCTGTCTTCCTTTCTCAATAGTGGCACCTTGCATAGCTTTTCTCCTTTGAATATGAGCATCGAATTCTAGAAGGGAATCAGAAAAGCTTTCTTCTCGTACAAAAAGTCTATGTCGATGATGACCGGGTAATCCTCCATCGACACCACATGAAAGTCCGCCTCTCTCGCGCAATCTCCAAGGGTGATCCGCACCTTGCGAGCAACTCCATGTGTTGGTGTGGCTTCCGAATTTACTGTATTTAACCATCCTCTCTTCTTCTTGTACGGGATGCTAAACCTTTGTGCTTCACCACATTATTGTATCATCTTGCTCTTATTGGAGTAGTCATCATGGTCTCTCCCACCATTGTTGTTGAATGCTTCTTGCTCCTCCGGCCTCTGATACTTGACAAGGGACTCAATAATCGCCATTGTCGAGGCAAGGTCTTGTACACCTCGTCGTTGTAGCTCCAACCTCGCCCATGGTAGTAAGCCTACAAGAACACGAACAAGGCATCCTTGTCTGGATAATCGTGGATCTCAAGTAACAACTCCGAGAATTCTTTGACATACTCACGAATCCTACCAGTGTGGGTGAGTTGTCGGAGCTACGCACGAGCCTCCATTTCTACATTCTCTGGATAAAATTGCTTCTTGATTTCCCTTCGAAAATCTTCCCACGTGTTCATCTCACACGTGCATATGTGGATGTCTCCTTGGCGCCTACTCTACCGCACCATGGTCATATCGATCAAGTATAGTGAGGCGGTGCGCACCATGACTTCATTGTCATTGGTGCCCGAAGCCTTGAAATATTTCTCAAGACTCCAGAAGAAATTTTACAATTCTCTCGCGTTCCTCGTCCCTTCAAAATTCTTCGGCCTTGGAACATCCATTCTTGGGGTAGATTTGTCGTGACAAGTTTGTTAGCCACGACTAGCTTGACGAGATTGAGCTCTCCTTTCAGCTCGTCAAACTCCTATCTCACATTGGTCATCTCTGCCCGAACGTTCTCCTTCAAAGAGTCGATGGCGTTGGTGATCATGGTTAGAAACTCATTTTGAAAATATTCCTAACCCACCTCCAACCACGTCATTCGAGAAGCCACACCTTGCACGTCACCCTTCAAGGTATGCACCTCCGTGGCGATTTGGTCGACGTTCATCTCCATGTCTTCAAACATGGTGATGTGGTCAAAAAACTTCGCCTCTACCTTCGAGACCCTCTCCTCGAGAGCATTCAAGGGATCACGAGTAGATTTGTCTCTCTAAGGCAGCTTGGTTGAGTCCTTCTTGGGCTCGCGTCCTCGTTGCTCTTCCATTTTAATAACCCTGATAATTACAAAAAAAAAATGTGGACAGAGGCTCTCGCCTCTCTCCTGGAACTCTTCCAAATCTCCGGCCATCTCCTCCTGCGGTTTTGCGTGAGGATCTTGAAAGTGGCCATCGCAAATCAAGACAGGAAGCAGCAGCAAGCGATCCCGACACCCTGTCAGGATATCAACCGGCGCAGACTGCTTCTGAAGCTCCGGCTGAAGAATCGACCTGGAACTAAGCAAATTCCCCCTAGTGCTAAGCATGGGAACTTCAAAAGATTGCGCAGTTCTCCTAGGGTGAAAGAGGCCGCCTTGGAACAACATCCAAGTAAAAAACGGTGGACATGAAAATTGAAGGTGTGGAGATTCACGTTACCGTCGGCAAGTGAAATGATATGGGATGAAGGGGACGTTCACCCGATCCCCGTCCGTAATAGAGATGTCCAGGAGAAGGATGACATCTCCCCAAGTACAACCACTGAGTTTAAACTCAGATCCCGAGATGGGGCGAGTTTTCTCATTCAACATAGTGGGATAAAATGGCCGGAAAGTTTCCCGGACGCCGGCCGTCAAGGTTCAGCCAGTTACTGTGTAACACGGCACTTCAGCCGGCTCCACCGGCCACCACTATCGTAACCAATCCGGATTCTCAGAGGCATTTGATTCGC